CATTCCTTCTCTCATTTGTGGCTCAAAGCAATTGTATGTCCCATTCTTTCAATGCTGTAACAATCTTACTAAAGGGAAGCTTGCGTGCACCTCATCTTCCTATTCTGCTGATGCTCTCTGCTTTTAGACCAATTATCCCAGGTAGAATGCTTGATCGATTGGCCCCTTTGGCTCCTTCACATACAACTCTGACTAGACAAATCATTCTTTCTTTTATCCAAAGCAAGGAGTTCTTTTTCAAGAAATACAAACAACCACATAATTAGCATGTGCGAACAGAGGGAATCCAATGCTCACTTCACATCGAAGAACTCTTAATTCCACTAAATCAAACTGAATATCTCTCGTCTATACCAATAATACAATATTGTCGGCTAATTACGCGTCAAAATGAGTTGATTTTCTGCTAACCAAATCACCCTTTAGTAAAAATTACGCACGGTCAAGGGCTTCGTTGTGAAGGGTCATTTTCTTGACTTCCAGTTTTTTCTGTGATCTGGCCGAAATTATATATATATATATATATATATATATATATATATATATATATATATAATGGTTAACGGCCTATGTGAAGAAATTTTATACCAACTAAGGAATAATTATCAATATTACTTCTTTGGAGAGAGACATAAAAGAGAAAAAAATTAAATGTAAGTAGAATTTTTATTATTATTATTTTAAATTGTCGTTTGATTGTCGAAATAAAAAGTCTAGAATAAAAATATAAGAATCAGAATGAAAATTAAAAAATCATATATATATATATATATATATATATATATTAGTTATCAAATGTACATTGAATCAATATTAATTTAAGAAAAAAATTATCTAAAATTAAAGAAGTAAATAAAAAAAATTATTAAATTAATTAACAATCAAGCTTTAAACAATTCTGAAAACTTAACATGTTAATGAAAATATTTTACTCCTAAAATTTTGGCAAGTTGTAAAGTCCTTACAAGAATGAATGTTTTCATATATATATATAAAAAAAATTCTTGAAAATTATATTAAAAGTATTTGTATGTATAAGGAGAAAGTATAAAAATATTGAATTTTTGTTAATGAACAACAAGAAATGAAAGAAAAGATTGATTTTTTATTTATTTATCAATTATGAGTATTTTGGGAAAATATATTATTTGCTATTTAGATTAGACAAGCATTCAAAGACAAATATAAATAGAAAGGGGACAATCATTTTGTTAGAGCACAAATTTCACATTAAATAGCTAAACCAAAGATGATTAATTTATATGGTTGAGAAAGGACCACCCATCACAAAGCTTAAGTTTTTTGGATGAAACTCAATCTCAACTATAAAATTCTATATGGTATTAGAGTCTCAAAAAACTCCAATGGTCCAATAAAAATGCTTGGAGCCCAAGCCACTTGACGGACCCCAAAAGATGGGCTACAAGTGAGGAAGAGTATTAGAGCACATATTTTATATTGAATAGTTAAATCAAAGATAATTAATATATAAGGTTGAGAAATGGCCATCTACCACAAAGGTTAAGTTTTTTAGATGGAATTTAATCTCAACTATCTAACTCTATAACTTTGGGTTGAAGAAATAATAAACATATGTATGTAACATTTAATCACTTAGAAGCATAATTATATATATATAAAAATAGTACTAAATATCTTACTGTTTACGTGTTGAGTTATGCATAAGAGTAACGAATTCCACACCATTTAATCTAATAGTTTATGTTTCTAAACGAAGTTGGATCTATCATTATATGTCAACTCGATCTTACGTAACTAAATAACTCTCATTTAATTAATATGATTATCGAGAGTAATGCAATTTACAAGGATAACATGTTATTAAAAGAATACTAAACATATGAATCAAGGAGCATGGTTGTAATTTTCAAAATATTAAGTTAATTTGATGGTGTTTTTGCTCAACACATCTATTTTGTTTTGGTGTTTTGACATTTACTTCTTTAAGATATACCATTTTCTATAAGATATTATGTTAATACCTAGTATTCTCATCCTTAGTCGGACTAAAATTGTTTAATAGGTTTGTCAAAGAATTTCTCAACAACATAATTGAATTTAATACAGCAACTTAGAACCTTAGATTTAAAGAAAAAAATACCCAAACAATATTTATTGTAATGATCATAAAATAAGACATAATAAGAGTAACCATCAATATAGGGTACAAGAAAATGACCTCAAACATATGAACAAATCAAGTCTATGGTGTCTTACCCTCATAAGTAGATTGAGGAAATGTCAATTTTTCAATTTTACTAATGGAACAAACATGACATAAAGAGGAATTTGGTTGTAAAAAGGATAATTTAGTGTCCTTTAAGGCACATTGAATAGTCTTATAGGATGCATGTCCAAGGTGAGCATGCCGAGTCCCTAAGTTTACACTATGAACTTAAATAGAACAAAGGTGGCCTAAGGTTTGATCCAAGGAGAAAGTGTAAAGACCATTGTCAAGGGTGCCTACGTGTAGAATTTTATGTGACTCCAAATCCTTTACAAGAAATTTTTCATGGAAAAATTCAGGAGAACATTAATTATTCGTTGTAAAGCTACCAACGAGATAATAGATTTTAATTGTTGGAAGGAACATGTAATATATTATTAAGACATAACGAACGATTATAAAGATGAAAAGAAGAAAAGCCAATATGAGTAATGGAAACGTGTTTATCATTAGTCAATTGCACTTTGTCAAGTCCATGATACTCATTGTGAATAGCCAAGTTTTTCACTTGCATCGTCATATGGTGAGTCACATTAATGTCCACAATCCATTATGAATTGCTAGGCGAGGAGTTTGAGGAGGGTTTAGGGTTACGGTTAGTTATTTGAGATCTAGAAGATAGACTTATATTGACAAGATGATCAGTTCCATTATAGTTAAAATGAACAATAAGGCTAGAAGTAGGCTGAACATGAGTAAAAACGGAAGCCATTTGGTGAGAACCATATGATTGAGGACATCCACCATGACAACCACGGCCGAAGCTGTTAATTAGCATAATAAGTAGAGATGGGAATTTTAACGGACTTAAGGCCATCTTGAAGTTGAAATTCTTCATTTAAACCAAGACCATAATGAGTCTCTTAAAGAATAGCTTTGTCTCTAGATTCTATCGAGCATAAGAAAGGCTAGTAGGAAGAAGCACTAAAGCATCATAATAAACCCCGTACCAAGTCATCTTGAGGAACAAGTGATATAAAAAAGTGATGAATGTCATAGATGCTCTTTCCTTATTAGAAAGATTGAGGAAGGGATTCATATGGTTGTTTAATAAGGTGCTAAAAATTGCTTTTGAGGTGATTAACTTGAGTCCTTGTTCTTGAACCATATGTAGCGGTAAGTTTAAGCCAAGTTGCTCGGGGCCGTAGGTGTGCCAACCACGAGAGGAAGTACTACCTTTATGAGAGAGTAGACAATCTAGGTGAGGACCGATTGGTTATGTCTATCCTAAGTAGCATAGGTTGGATTTGGTTCATTTTCGGAGAAAGTGGCGGTAGGCAAAGATTGAGAGCCATCAATGTAGTGAAGAAAACCATGACATCATAAGAGGGTTTGAAATTGTGTTTTGCTAGAGGAAGAAATTTATGGAAGTAATTTGAAGTAGGGTATGAGAATTAAAATTTGAAAGAGATGACTCGAACCACGGAAGAGGAATGAGTTGCGAAACAATAGCGGTGTCTTGTGATGCGACAACCTTAGGAAAGTAAAAAAGAATTTTGGATTGTTAAGCCTTTTTGGCTTTGATACCATGTAAAGTTTATGAATTTATCTTAGTATATAAAAAAATTATAAGGTTGATATATATTGTTGCTACCGACTTTTAGGGGACTTCCAAAAAAAAATTTATTAAAATTTTTTATTTTATTTTATTTATTTATTAGGGATGTGAGTTAAACTATGTTTTAGAGTAGCCATCTAATATTAAAGAAACTAAGAAACCTAAAAATGTCATTAGTTCATAAATTATAAGATAAAGAGTTAGTCATGCCTTTGGGAAGATATCAATCACCTAAAAGCATCTTTTCCGAGGAAATGTGTCATGTCCGGTCTAATCTTAGAAGTTTATCTCCTAAAAATTTAAATTTTTGCCAAGTTAATTCTCAAGTCAAAATTTCAATTTATTATGTAAGTCAATTTTTTTTTTTTTTTGGTATCATATTGAATCGATCATCGGACTCCATCATTAGAAATCTCATTAGTTCAACATTGAATCAAGTTGAAGTTTTGACATAACCGGTATGTCGAAGAACGACTTAATTACTAGAATGTGATTGATTTGAATTAACACAATCCCTATTAGATACAAGTCTTGTTAATTTTCACCTAACATTTCCCTATATTTCTTTTCATTCTTTTCCTTTTCTTTTTCATCTTTTCTTTTTATGGCTCTTTTTTTATCATTTTTTAATAATTTTTCTTTTCATTTTCTTATATATATATATATATCAAAATTGGTGGAGAATGACCATTATTCTCTAAAAATTAGGAGACTTGACGATTCATCCACATATTAATTATCTAATTTAACTATCGATTATTTAAGCAATACGGAAAAATAAATATGAAATTTATTTACCAAAACCTAAAAGATAAAAATCCAACACGGACATATGAGTTTAAAATCTACCTCCATAATTTCAGATTTAATTAACATTAAATACTAGGCTAAACTAAAATTTAAACACTAAAACAAATTAAAGACTAGGCATGAAACTAAATAAATCAAAATAAATAGGTAGAGGAACTTAAGAAGTTCTAAAAAAATAAATCTAGACTAGAAATGAAAATATGATGCATGCTTAAAATTTTTAGGTTTAATTGAGTAAGGGAAACTAATTAAATTAAGTCCTAAAAAATGAAAAGCTATTGGGCCCTTGGGCCTATTAGGCTTTCAGCCTACTAGGCTCCCACTTCCTTTGGGCCAACTTAAACCAAACACAGCCCAGCCTAGAACCCATTTACTAGATCCAGCCTAAGCTCGTCGGTCTAGCCTAGCCCCAGCAGTACTCTCAGCCCAGCCTAGACTAACAAGATCAGCCCGGTCCAAATGCTTTCTCTCATAATCAAACCTGGACCTAATCAACAAAACCTAACCTAAAGCCTTAAACAATTTTCTTTCCTGGCCCAAATACCCTTTCTTTCTCTTCCTTCTTCTTTTTCATCCGTTCTAGGACACAACACCCATCCCTTATCATACTTTTCCTCTCTAGACGAACTGAAACCTAGTTTCTCAACATTGATCCCTCCCACCCTTCATTTCTATACATTCAGCAAGCTTAGGCTAGTGGGGGGACATTGGTCAGTTGGGAGTGTCACTGTCATTGTTTGTTCTTGAACAAACTAGTGGTATGATCAAAGCAATTGAGAGCAAAAATTATGAAAGAGATAAAGAGTATTTACCTGGTATACTCCATTGGTGAAGTTTGGTTTGGGTGAATGATTGGCAGTGAGGAAGTTGTTCCTATTTTGGCCAAGAATGGAGGAAAATGATTTTGCAGGGATGTTCAAATAAAATTCTTTACGGGAGTCTTTTTATGAACCTAGGAACTAGTTGAAGATTAGGATGCTTTGAATGACCCATTTTGAAGCTTGAAAACCCAGAATTTCCTTTTCTCAAAATCCAAGAAAAGCTTCCCTGTGAACCAAAATTTTCCTTTTTTCTTTCCTTTTTCCCCTTTTTTGTGTTCTGGACAGGTTTGGATTATCAAGGTTGTGTATTTGGGAGCTAAAATTATATCCTCAACAAACCAGAATTCTTCCATCGCCTTTTTGAAAACCCAAAAAAATAAAAGAAAATCCTCTCACTCACTCTCTCTAAGACTGCTCAATTTATAGCCAAACCCAAATCATCCTTCATCTTAGGATCACCCCAATCAATTAGAGCCCTCCTTCTTTAAAAACAAAACTGGACGCTCCTGCATTTTGGATTTTAATGCACAGCTCAATCGAGACGAACAAAACTAAATGAAAAATATGTGTGTGCAGATGTTGTGTATTTTTTGTGCGCGTGGTTGAAGTATGATTCTTGGCTGGTACAATTGCCGGTCAGGAGCGACAAAACCAGACATTGAAGGATTTGTTTTCAAGGAAGATGATGAACAGTCCTGAAAACTGAATTTGGGTTGCAACAAACGGAAGGTCGTTCGTTCAATTTTGTTCCTGCCGTTCGCTTTCCAATTTCAATTTGGTCTCTGGCTGTTTCAATTTTATACAATTACACTCCTAATTGTTATTTCAATTGCACCCTTATTGGGTTTGAATTTTAGTCTTAATTTCATTCAATTGCACCCATATCTCATTCAATTTCGTCCCTAATTGACTTTCAATTTCTAATCTGGTTGTTTTTAATTTCACTCCTTGTTCCCTTTAGTCATATACCTAATTAATTGTTTAATGAAAAAAAAAATTATGGTTTTTCTGTGTTTAATTTTTTCATCCCCCCCCCCCCTTGAAAAATTGATTATGTAATTATTTTTTTTTATTTTCTTTTTTCTTCTTCTTTTTTTTTTTTACAAAAATAAAACATAAAACTTGTAAAATTGATTAAATAAAATAAAATATAAATAAAGGAATAAAATCAAGGAAAAATATACATATAACAAAATTTTGGGTTATGACATATATACATAATGATTATTAGATAGGTATTAGAAGAATATATGGCTAAGTAAAGTAAGCTAAACTACAGGAGAGCTAGACACAGATATGTTGCCAGAGATAATAACTGAATTTCTATCCTTATCAGACTTATGATGCTTTGTCTGGTTCCTCCATGACAGGGGGGTCATACACTTGGCAAGTTATAAATTTGGGGTCCCAAAGTTTTGAAACTCTGGCTAATAAGCACATAGATGTCCTTCGCTTTGGTTAACAAATTCCTTGCTTACTGGATATGGAGCCCGGGTCCATTGAATTATATGCTATAAGCTCAGGCACGCAAGCGTAGCTACAGGTTCAGGCTTGTTCATGAAATGAGAAATAGAAGACCATTGCAATGTGTTATTTCGGCTACATCAGGAAGAAAAATCAGTATAAAAATTGAACTAAGCATTTGTTCGCCATTTGGTTGGTGCATGCATGTATAGCTTAAATTGAACTAAGCACTTATACCCTCTATTTGACAGTAAACGAGGAAATGCTGAATTTTTTTATATGAACATATTGAGGAGGAAAGGTCCTAGCCACCTATAAGTTTACTCTTTCTTTTCTTTTGTTCTGGTTGATATAATTTGAGAAATTATTATATAAGAATAGATTGAGCTATTTACTAAAAACTTAAACTGTTAGATTTTGTTTTTTTTTTTTTACATTACTTTTTAACAGTCATGAACTGTGTGGTAAGAAACAAGAAAATTATCATTGGAGTCTTTCCACAAGAAACAAAACATTGAAAGGTTGCACAACAAAAGGAAAAAGCTGGTAATAATACTATTTATTCGGATTTGATTTGCTCAAACCATGGCAACATTAGAGATTTACTTCAAATTCTCATTAGTTACATGCTCATAGCTAAAATAGCTCTTTCAATTTTTATCTTCAAGTGCTCTTTCTCTTCTTCATTCACCTGCAAGACACAAGCTATTGTCAACTTCGATGATCATCATGACAAAATTTCAATAAATGGCTACTTGGCAGAATTTCAAAATGCGCTGTTAACAACTTTTGTTTTACATTTTAGTCACTTGGATCAAAATAATGGAGAGCAGGAAGAAGAAAAGAGCCTTGCCTCAATCAATAGTGTCTTCTTAACCATTCCTGAGAGTGCAGTGATATTTGCTGTGATAATTTTCAGCTTCAAAGATTCAAAAACCTCACAAACCCTAATCATTGTGTCTGTTGTTTTATTGCATGTCAAGCTCACAAACAAAGCCTTCTCTCCCATGGAAGTAACCCTAAGCTAAAAAAAACATAACCAAACATACAATAAGTAATATAATATGACTAATTAATCATTTGACACACAAAGAGTGATGGAATTTTTCCATTCCTTAGAACTGACCGCCTCAGGTTACACCTACAGAGAGAAACTTACTTCATAAACTTGAATGGGACAAGTAGTTCTGGCGACCCTAGGATCATAAATTTGGTCATATCTTGTTCTCTTGGATCTTAACAAGACTGGTAGCCTTTGCTCGAAGTCAAAGCCAGGATCTTTCTTCAATCTTTTGGATTCAAGTTCCATTATCTCAGCTTGGAGTCTCCTCTCTTGTTCTTGCAAATTTTGGATGTACTCAATAGCATCTTTGATTATGGAAGCTTTGTCCAACTAAATTTGGTAAACGCAAAAAATAAAAATAACATGAAGATTTTCTCAAATCCAACAAACAAAATGATAAACGTTAGCATTAATTTAAGAATGTCTTTATGACGTGAAAAACTTAGTTTGTGGGTTACCTTGCTGATTTTGGGGACTGCTTCTCTAAGTGCTAAGAGCTTGTCAGCCAACTTCTTCCTCCTGTTCTTCTCTTTTACAACATTTTTAGAGGCTATTGTTGAAGAAGTTCCACCGGCTGAGGTTGAATTATCGCACCCAAGATTAATTTGCTGATCATTCATTGGCCAACTGTCTCAAAATTAAACTATTTTTTTTAAGTTCAAAAACTTTGGAGATGGATAAACAATAGAAATTATATAATAAAATAAAAGTTCGGCCATCAAAAGCAAATATGCAAGAAGGCATACCTATAATTAAATTCTTCATTAAAAAAAGGGTTAATATCCAAGTAATTCTGGTACTCCTCAATATTCTCAATAATTTCCATGGGTTTGGGTAGGGCTGTGTCGGGGAGATAAGGAAGAGAGAAAACTCAAATGATTCTTGCTTGAGATATAGAGTGTGTGTTGTTTTCTCAACCATGCAGGTCTTATAGGGCTAAGGATTCAATAATTTATGGGAAGCATGTCGTGACAAGTTAACTAAGGACTTGAGAGGAAGAAAACAAATTAAAGTGTTGAAAAGGAAATTATTATTCGAAAGTCCCCACATGCAACAGCTTGAATCTCTCTGTCTCTTAAACCCCACATTATTAATTTTTTCTAGTATAAAAATAATTATTCTATATTATTTTTTAACATATCTTTTCAACTAAAAATTATTTTAATTTGAAATTAAAAAAAAAAGACTCAAATACCTTGTTAAATAACCATCTTAAATTTTCATATAAGGAAAATTGATAAAGAAGTTTTACTTAAAACTAAAATATAATACACAACTTTATAGATAACAGATTTTTGATGTAGTTAATGCAAAATAATTATCCATAAAGAGGATTTATACAAATTAAACACTACATAAAAATATTTAAATGACATCTCAATCTAAAATATTAAGTTGTTAAATTATATATTAGAGTATAATTTATATTATTTTTCAGTATATTTATTCAATCGAAAATTCTTTGACTTGTACCTTGTGCTCGAAACTTGCACAATGTCATTATTACCTTGTGCTCAATTACTTTGAAACTTGGGCCATCATTTCCTTATGCTTAATTACTTTCAAACTTGCACAAATTATTACCTTATGTTTAATTATTGTCGTCATAATTATTTTTAAATTTATACATATCCATTGGTACTTTATATTTAATTATTTAATTTTAATAAGAAGATATGTGATCGTTTAGTTATCAAGTTTAAGTTACTATATTAAAAGGTGATTTCAATCCAATCACAAGGTAATAACTCGTTGATAAATAAGTATTGACTTGTAAGTTAAGTTCATGATTTGATCCTTGTGGTTAGTACTCAATAGAATTTATTTTCAGAATATCAAAAACTCGTATGTTAAGAAGTGCTTTTTAGCTATGTTTATGGAGGAATTAGTTTTGAGATATGCGAAAATTAATCCGAGAACATCTTTATTATTAAACTAAAAAAAAATATCTCAATTCAAATATTTGACATGATAGCCGAGGTCTTAAGATATAATTCAAATAATAATATAAAACTGCTTCTGAAACTCTGCTATATAACTTAAATTAGGTCGATATAGCTTTTACCGTGATACTAGAGTTTTTCCAACTTAACGAATAAAAATTTAAATCTTACTATTTTTATCTTTTTTTTCTATTTGTTAGATTTTTTTCAAGAAAAATTTTAAAATATTCAAAAGTTAACTATAACACTGGGAAATCCTACAATGTACTTCACAATAGAAAACCTTTGATAAAAAATTTATTGCAACAGTTTTTCAAAGCTGATACGTTTTACATTTCTCTCAAAGGACACATATTTTCCAGCAGAACCCCACGTGTACATCTCTGGATCCCCATGTTGAATAGAAGACAGCGGTAGATTCCCGAGAGTGGGGCTCTTTTGGAAGCCAATTTTGTTTTATTAAAAGCGGATAATCAACAATTTTTTTTTTTTTTCAGTTTCCACGGTGATAATAATCAAGATCGCTTTTGGATTTGGTTGACTATTGATTTTGGGTCCACTCACCCTAGTTCTTAGAATGTGTATGATAAATTTTCCATAAGTTAAAGTTGTTCACATGGTGTATGGATTCCCATTCCATCTTTTGCTCGTTAAACTTTTGATTTCCAAATATCAAAATATTAATTTAATATAATATAAGAATTTTAACTATAGAACGATTACAAATTCAAAAAATATATATCTATTTTAAAAAATAATACAAACCATATTAGATAACAGTTTAATCTTTTAAAATAATCGATCTCTTGAATTAAGATTATATTTGGAATGCATGCATTTGGAAATGCAAAAATTATATTTTAGAAAAACGTCAACATCTGTTTTGAATAATACTCTGCTCGTTGAAAATACTTGTGATCTTTATACAAGTGTTTCAGAAAACACATGGCGTGTTGTATATGTGGCTTAAGCATTAAAGTAAGTCTTTGCAGGCATTTTCCTCGTGGCAGAAAAAATTAGAAGTGTAGACAGAGGCAGGTTATTAGTCAAGCCGGAGAAAAACAAACCACCAATTTCCCTACTTTTTGCAAGCTGGGAACATTAAGCTACTCCCTCGATGATTTTAACACAATCCTCGGAAAGGTTTTCGTGTAGAAGAAAAGGACAAAGTGAAAATTTAGGGATGCATGACGCATTGAGTGAAACGCAATCATAGCGTCAGGTAAATGACTTGTGTAATAGGCGTAGGTTTTCTATTATTGAACGCTTAATCAATCTTATGCGTAAACTTAGTCTTGGTTGTTGTGTAAACTGTTCCATCATATTTTTACGGTCGAATAATAATAATAATAATAATAATAATAATGCAAGATCTCAGTAAATTGTAAATTAATCTCTCTAATTTTTGCAAACCAAATTAAATAATCTCTCATGATTCAAAAACCAATCAAGTAGTCTCAAAATCTTTTTGAAAAACTATTTTCTTTTTGGAAAAACTAAATACTCGCAAAATCTTTAATAAAGACTATTATACTAGGAAAAAAAAACTGTTATTTATGGTCTAGGAGACAGAGAGATGCAAGCTTTTCCAGCTCTTAGATTCACCTAGTCCTGATTAATTGTGAGCGTGTAACGAATGGAAAACCGAAGTGTATCTCTATTGCTATCATGGCTTTAGGAAGCCAAATCCTAATAAATAGTAGTTTTGGTAACTTTTTAATCTCTCAAAAGTTTAATTAAAAAAAAAACATCAATACTAAATCTCTCTTTTTTAGATTGAGTTTCATTTATAAATAGAGAATTTCACATCATTTAAAATAAAAAATTTCTGGTATTTATACATCATGTATTATATACATTCATATAATTTCTATATTATAAAGAAGTTGTCTTGCTATTTATTTTTATTTGTTTTTAAATGATTGTTTTCGTGAAAGTATTAAATATGTGTTAGAGATTAATATAAAATTGTTCATGAAATCTTATTTAATAATTTAAAATTTTAAGTTCAAATGATTTTTTAAAATAATATTTAAACTTTACTAAATAAATGGTCAAGAATTTATTATTATTTTTTGTGGTATTTATAAATTTGTGGTATTTATATATCATGTATTATATACATTCATAAACTTTCTATATTATAAAGAGATTGTCTTACTATTTATTTATTTATTTTTAATGATTTTTTTTGTGAAAATATTAAATATGTGTTAGAGAGTAATATAAAATTATTCATGAGATCTTATTTAATAATTTTAAATTTTAAATTCAAATGATTTTTTAAAATAATATTCGAAATTTTACTAAATAAAGGGTCAAGAATTTAAATTTCACCGTATTCAGATTATATGTAAATTTCAATGGAGGAGGTGTGGAGTTTCACCTGGATGTTGTTGATTATTTTCCTTCTCTCAGTTATTGGTCAAGCCAATTGTGTGTCCCTTTCTTTCAATGCTGTAACAATCTTAAGGGAAGCTTGCACCCCACCTTCCCATGCTCTGCTTTCGCCACGCAACTTGACAAGTCTAAGCCATTGTTTCCTTATCCAAAACAAAGACTTGCTGTCCCAACAAGAACAACAAAGCAGATAATTAGCAAGTGCGAACAGAGTGAATCAAAAGTTTAAACCGGTTCGGTTTTTTTAAAAAAATCGGTTTAAACTGCAAAATGGAAACCAAAGGTTCGGTTTTTAAACCAAATAACTGAATAATAATTCTGCTCAGGTTTAGTTTTTATTCTTGCAAGTTTGGTTAAATAAAGGCAAACTAAAATTATTAGAAGTTAAGTCGAAAAATCGAAACCTTCCTCTTTCGTCCCACCAGATCACATCAAAATTCAGCATTTCCTTGTTTATTGTCAAAGAAAGGTAAGGCTAGTGAGGCCACCAAGCTAAGCTACTTGGCAAAATAGTGCATCGATGCTTGGTTATAATCAAATCACCCTGTCGTGGAAATTGCAAATGGTCAATTCCTGTAATAATGTATTTGGAAATGGTTCCACTTGATCCTACTACTACAGTATCGGCTGCTAAAATTGTTGCTTTGCCATCGTGTTGTGCATGTCCAAATAATACAGTATTGTAGGCTAAAATTCTGCATCTATAATTGCTTGGTTACGTGTCAAAATGAGTTGATTTTCTGCTAACCAAATCACCCTGTAGTCGAAATTACGCATGGTCAACGGTCTACTATTTCTCATTTCCTGGACAGCTTCAACCAGTAGTTAAGCATGCGTGAGCTTTTTATGTAGTATATAATTCGATGGCCTTTGACCCTACTAGGTAAACAGGAAATATTATGTGACTACTCGAGATTTGGGAGACGTATAAAAATTAATTAATTATTTATGATTTATTTGAAAATCTTGTTTTTTTTTTTTTTAAAGGGATATGACTTATTTATTAATTTTGAAATCATAAAGAATTAGAAATCTAAAATAGACATTAATTCAAAGATTTTTAGATAAGGAGTTGATTATATCTTTAAAAACATATCTATTATCCAAATGTTTTATTTTCTAAAAAGAAATCATGTCTAGTTTAATTTTAAAGTTTATTTCCTAAAAATTTATATTTTCGTCAAAATTAATCCTAGTAAATATTTCAAGTTTTATTTTCCATATCAAATTAAGCTTTTTTTTTTTTTTTTTTTTTTTTTCTTTTTTGTAATATCATGTTGAGCCAATCATCGGATCTCTCCGTCAAGCGTCTCGTTGATTCAATATCGGATCTAATTTAAATCTCGACATAGCCAGTATATCGGAGAATAACCTAATTACTAAGATGTGATTTATTTAAATTAACATCGGTTTCTATTAGACATGAGACTTTGTTAATTTTTCTCTAGTGTTTTCCTATTTTTTTATATAACTTTTTCTTTTTTTCTTTTTTAGTGTTTTCCTTTTTCTTCTCTTTCTTTTCCTAGCATTTTTTTTTATCTTTATTTCTCTCTCTCTCTCTTTCTTTTCTTTTTCTTTTTTTTTTTTTAAATCTTTTTCCTCGCACTTTTTCTTATGTTTTTCCTAGCATTTCTTTTTATAGGTTTCTAAAAATAAAATATACATCAATAAAAATTTCATACTGTGAGAACGAAACACGTGTAATTTTTTAACAATATTAATTACACTTGCTAAAGATTCAACGAATTAATTTATTCTTTTTCTAATGAACAATTCTACCACTTACATTATAAAGTGTAAGATCATCACAAGAGATTTGCATGTTCTCAATTGCGAGCTTGCCAAACTTCCACTGGTCCCAACTTGCCCCAATTTCCCTTGATGTGGACTTGCAGCAGCAGTTTTTGTTTCACATAATATTGTATATCTGTTATGATAATTCTTCTTTTCTTTCTTTAAAAAAATTATTTCTCTAGTTTCAAAGCAAAAAAAATCAAGATAAAACGAAAAAAGAAAAGTAGGAAAATAAATTAATAATAGATACATAATATTATAGAAATGAATACTGTCTCAAAAAAAAAAATATTGTTTTGAAATACTTTACAATACTTACTCCATAAATTCGTTTTCTTTTTTTTTTTAAAAAAAAAAGATAAACAAAAAAATCTGAATCTATCAAAAGTGATAAAAATATTCTTACCTTAATTCAATTTTATTTTTTAATTTTCTCTCCTATTTATCTCCTTTCTTTGTGTTTGTCTTTTTCTTATGGAGGAAGTAGTAGTAGTTACTTCATGATTAATATAAAATTTCTCATCTCAAAATAATAGCATAGTTATTGAACTTTTATATAATTTTTATTTTATTGGATTGATTGAATATGAATGTGATTAATCATAAAGTTGTTATTATCTATTTTTGTTTCTATAATATCAAATGTATATTTTAATATTTTTAAACAAAATATACAATTTGACATTTAGAAACTTTATTAAAAAAAAACAATTAAGTTGGAGAATAAATTTTGTTTACTGTAAAATGCAATTAAGAACTTTTTTTTGTGTTAAAAATAAAATATATATATCAATAAAAATTTCATATTGTAAGAACATAACAATTGTAATTTTTTAACAATATTAATTACACTCGCTAAAGATTAAACGAATTAATTTATTCTTTTTCTAACGAACAATTCTTCCTCTTACGTAATAGAGTGTAAGATAATTTCAAGAAATTTGCATGTTCTCAGTTGCCAGCTCGCCAAACTTTTTCTCTCCATCATTTCTTTGAGCCTCAAAAGTCTAAACAATTTTCCTTTGGGTAAGTCTAAAGTCAATAAATTATGCACCATATGACCAAATCACTAAAATAAATTTGTACGGGCAGAAATGGTCCTTTTTTTTTCTTCACTGGAAAATAAATTAAAAATTTCTCATCTCAAAGTAATATCTAGTTCTTGAACTTCTATATAATTTTTATTTGATTGGATTGATGGATCATGGATATGATTAATTTTTTATGATTGTGGTTGATATCATTGTGATATTATTGATTTTCTTTTCTATCATATCAAATGTATATTTTGAGATTTTTAAGCAAAATCTACAATTTGACATGTAGTAACTTTATTAACAAAAAAAAAATTAAGTCAGAGACTAAATTTTGTCTAATTTTTGGTGTGAAAAATAAAAATATAAAATTTATTATAAATATATATACATACACACTATTAATTCAATTTTTTATCTTATCCATCAAAAGAATATCCTACCCATTACCTATTAAGAAATTATCATATAAATTTTTATCTAATTCATACCCGATCCATACTAGTTTACATGTCTATTTAATATCCATTTAATACTCATTAAATTTAATTTATCAAAAATAATTATTTAAGTCTCTATAATTTTTAAGAAAAGTTTTTTTATCCTTAATTTTTTTTTTTTTTGCATTTTGGTCATTTATTTAGTTTTTTTTTAAAAATATTTTGATTCATAATTTTAAAATTTATGCAATTAGATCCCTACATGTTAATAAAAACAATCTAAATGAATTAGTGATTATTGATAGGATAAATAATAAATACTTATATCCTAAAACTATATTAATAGATATATTTTTATTTTTATTCGTTTTAATATTTATTAAATATTTTTAATAAATATTTATTAAATTAAAAAAATAAATATTCGTTTTATATTCAATGCATTACTGCCAGACGACAATCTAATACGCTGTGGGGATGCAAAAGTAGGAGATTAGGTGGCTTTCTTTTTAATTTTCCATGGAGGCGGGACTTTGCTTCACCCTGTCCACACTTGCTGATATGGAGTTTCGCTTTTTGAAAAATTATGGCCTAAAGACTTCACTGTTACGAGGACTTGAATTGATGACCTCTTGACTTGACTCACGATGGATCCTCTAATGTAATACATTTGTGTTTTTCTCGTCCTCGGTCTTTTCTTCGAAGTTCTCCTTAGCTAATTGAAAATTACCACTACTAATCTAGTGGTAAGAAAATTACTTATTTTCATTATTCACGTATAATTAATTATAATTATTTTTTAATGTACTAAATTTAAGTGGGTTTGTTGGAAAAGACGATGTAGCTCGTGGTTGACGCAAATTTAGATTTGTTTAAATATTGGCTTAAATGGTGTCGTATCTATTGGAAAATGATTAAGTTCTGACATTAATTCAAACCACCAACCATTCGCCAGTTGCTTTAAATGGTGTCGTACCTGTTGGAAAATGATGGCCCGAAGACCATTTGCAACAGGCACTTTCGAAAAGACAAGTGTAAAGTGGGGGAATGGTAGATGGTTTGGATTAGATCGACCTTTTCACAATGAGACCAAACAAGAAAACCTCAGAAAATTTACACCATGGAGGGAAAAAAAAAAAAAAAAAACACAATTAGTACGAAGAATCCATTAATTTATGGGGTCAACTTTTTGGGTCCATGGCAACATCAAACAACTTTCTTGACTTACCAAAAAAGATAAACTTCCCTTCTTGATAATGTTACATAAAATAGCTGTAAAACTAATTATATTTTTCTTAATATTCAAAAAATGTGAACGCCTCAGCTTTGAGGTGCCCATATTTCCACAGTCCTCACGTACGGTGATGCTCTTTCTGGAAAAAAAAATGTGCTTTGACTGGGCCAAAAATTCATTTTGCACATGGCCATGGAGGAAAAAAACAACAGAAGGCTCACAAGTGATAACAAAGCAAATTCGATCATTCATATGTAAGACGGTTGGCAAGGAAAAAGGTTGCAAATTTCTAATTTGGTTCCCATGATGAATATAAGTTCTACTTTAGTCTACTGTTAAAAAAGTTGTTGCAGTGCATGTTATCCCAGCAGATAAAAGTAGTAGAGAAGCCGAGGAAAAAAGAAAAGAAAAAACGTGTATCAATAATCGCTTTCTGTTGTATTTTTCTGTCTTCAATGGAGAAATCTGTTTTTTCTCTATGTTTTGACAATCAATCCTTTCTATTCTTTGTAAGAGAATGAGATTTATCTGTTCATTTGGGATATAGAAGTTATTTCCTAAGAGTGATTTTAGAGAAGCCGAGCCAGTTTGGTTTTTATGTAATTTAGTTGTCAACTTTTTTTTCTTTCTTTTTTTTATTAGCAGAAATTTATTGATAAAAGATAGAAATTTACGTGAGTGAGAACACAAATTGTAGCGAGAAACTCACTACTAGAGGCATACTCCAATAGATGTTTAGTTGCAAAATCTCAATTACAATTGGCAACCAGTAATTCTTATTGAAGCACATGTCTTGAACATACAAATTAGATGCTCATTTCGTTTGGCAAGAATGAGATTTTCCATTGCTAAAAGAAAATAATGAGCAAAATGTTATTTAACCATTTGGATAGGCAATAGTGCAATCGTATTTCGATTTTCAATTATTACATGCTCGTATGATTATACGGACCACTTAGAGCAGAAATAGCTCTTTCAATTTTCATCTTCAGATTATCTCTCTCTTCCACGTCCGCCTGCGAGACAAATTGGTGTCAACTTTCATGATCATGGGCGAAGTTGAATACTGATACCTACTGATTTCATGCAATGGAAGCGATTTTATGTGGCTTCCCGTTTGTTTTACTTGGATTGAAATGATGGAGAGAGGGAAGGAGAAAAGAGGCAAACCTCTATCAAGACTGTCTTCATGATCATCCCCGAGACAACTGTGGCATTTGCGGTAATGATTTTCAGTTTCAAGGATTCAAAAACCTCGCAAATCTTAATCATTGCGTCTCTTGCTTCACTACATGTCAAGCTCACAAGCAGAATCTTCTCTCCCATGGAAGTAACCTTAAACTGAAAAAACATCAGCACAGATCTTAAACAGAAAAAACATAAGCACAGATATCATTACTAGTATATTAAAAAATAATATATATTAACCATTTACATTTTTAGATTGAAATCACTATTTAAAACGATATCAGAGTTTTAATTATCAAATAATCTAGAGTTCGAATTTCATAACTTTCATTCTCTCTTATTAACATTAAATTATATATTAACATCTCGTTTAATAATTTAAATTATTAGATTAAGATAATTTTTTTGACATGATAGAACTTAACAGTTTAATATAGCTAAAGCCGTTTGGCATATTTCCAATTCTTCGAATTGACTACGTCAGGGGTCTGTCCATTCGGATACAAAAGAGAAACTTACTTCATGAAATACGATAGGATAACTCATAGGATAATAATTTTGGTCATATCTTGGTCTCTTGGATCTTAACAAGACGGGTAGCTCTTGCTCGAATTCATATCCAGGATCTTTCTTCAATTTCTCAGATTCAAGTTCCATTATCTCAGCTTGAAGTCTCCTTTCTTGTTCTTGCAAATCTTGTATGTACTCAATAGCATCTTTGACTATGGAAGCCTTATCCAACTAAAAGTGGTCAGCCCAAAAATGGAAAACAAAACCAAAACGTTTCAGATTCCACAAACAAAGTGATGAACTGAATTAGACGTGATTATCGCAATATCTGGTTTAGATTGTTATACCTTGCTGATTTTGGGGACTGCTTCTCTAAGTGCTAAGAGCTTGTCATTAAGCTTCTTCCTCCTCTTTCTCTCTGAATCTATATTTTTAGTGGCTCTTATTGAAGCAGCTCCGTCCGGCGAGCTTGAATCATAGGATTTAGTAGATGCCTGATTCGTCGCCCAACTGTCTCAAAATCAAAGTACTACTTTTCTTAAGTTGAAACCCCTAGTGCTGGAAAAAAAAAAAAATAGAACAAAAGGTTGGTCATCGGAAGCAGTTAAGAAGTGGAGGATATATACCTGTTAATAAGCTCATCATTCCAGAACATTTTAGTCATCTCCCAGTAATTTTGGTACTCAGCCATATTTTCAACAGTTTCCATGGATCGAGGGTTGGGCTGGCAAGGGAGAGAGAACATGAATGATGCTTTGCTTGCAATGGGGGCTTTCGCTTTCTCATTCATGGAGGAAATGTGGGGTTTTATACTTACAAGTAGGGTTGGGGCCTGGGACTTGAGAGGTTCTTTGATTTTAGACTAGACTACTCTATAGAATATTTTTGTGAGTTACGAAGAACTTGCATGAGAAGAAAATTTCATTCCTGAAATATGTTGTATGGTCCACATAGTTTGAATTATTTCCACCGGCCACTTTATTTTGTCTTTTTCGTCCAATTAGAGTAAATTATAATTTTTTTAATTTTATAAAACGAATTAAATAGTTTTTTAGTTTTTAAAACTAATTAATAAGTCGTTTTTATCCATTTCATTTTTTTTTGTTTTGTTTAATAAATAAATAAAAATATGAAATGATATAGAGATTCTTCGGGGGGAAAAAAATGAACATCAATTTTTATTTTCTTTGTTTAAATTCAAAACAGCTTTTATGAGTTTTAGCATATAGAGATTAAGTCCAGCTCTCTTATTCATTCAAAGAAATGTTATTCATGTCAAAATGAAGAGATTCAAAGCCACTTTTTTTATGCATTTAAAAATACCTTTGATCCAATTTTTTTTATATCAAAACTAAATTTCAATCCTGAATTAATTACATGCTATCCATGTCGAACTATAGGGCTAGAAAAATAAAACCCATTTATTGTGATAACTTAATTATTCTTCCACGTCCATTTAATGAATCCATGAACACGAGAATAACAATTAATGAAGTCAATGAAAGGAAAGAGTTTTACTGATTTGGTCCTGGTACTGTTTTATTTATTTATTTTTTTCATTAAAGCTTCCTAATTTTTTCATATTAATTGAGTATATTTATTTTTTTAATTTTTTACACAAAAGGTTTTTTTGTCATATCGCATGGTCGTTCGTATGAATATATTTTATGTTAGAATAACTCTTCAATTTCTAAAATTATGTAATTAAAGAAATAAAAAATAAAAAACAAATACATAAAAAATGATTTATTTTAATTAATTAGGTTAGTTTAGTTTTTTTCCTTAATTAATTTTTGCTTTTGTTTTAATCATCTGATTTTCATCTCCTACGAAAAAAATTAAAATAGAAGAATTATTGTTGGTCCTACAAATGAACAGATGTCAAGCATTTAGCATTTAGCTTGGTATTATGACATAAATGTAACATGTACGCGGATTAACTAATGACGTTATCATGACGGGAATTTTGCATAATAAAATAAAAAATTAAATAATTCAATTAATAATAATAATAAAAAGAATATGAGATTCTAATAAATAAATAAAAATTGAAAAAATACGAACACAAATGTTTCTTAACAATCACCATTAGTTGAAAGGCATCCCTTTCCCGGCCTGACATTCCAAATACGTCCCATTCAATGAATCATCTCCTTTTTTATGATCTGACGTTAATTATCTGTTGAGTTTCGTCCCTGCCTTCTGTCAAAACAGCGGAAGAAAACAAATATTAGTTAATTTGCAATGTAGGGCATAGGTGCTGATGCCGTACGGCTAGAATTTTTTAGTCTTCCAGTCTACGATAAACTAGTGTCGTCCTTGCCAGCCAGAGATTTGCCAAAACCACATTCTTGATTCACTGTCCACAATTAACATTAAAAAAGAAAAAGCTAAAATAAAACAATTGTTTACTATTTAATAACACTATTCAAAATACTGATTATCCATATTTATTTTTACTATTTATCAAGATTCATATATATTATTTTTTTTGATATTTTTATAGTTTTTAAATTTTCTAAAGGTATATTGAATATGAAAATTTTGGTTACAATATACTTTTGGTTTTTTTAAATATTATTTTTTTAGTTTGTAATTTTTTTTGTTCAATTTTGGTTATTCTTTTTTATTTGATTTTGATCACTTTGGTTCTTGTCTTTTTTCTCTAATTTTTTTAATTAAAAATTTTAAAGAAAAAAAAGATTTGAAAAAACCAATTTACAAAATAAGTTTGTAACTAACAATCCATTGATTTTGACAATTTTTCTTACATTATTATAAATATTTTAATTAAGAATATGGATAGAGATAATAAATAAATATGTTTTTATCAAAAATTTATGAAAAAATAAAAAATAATCAGCCAAATATAAAATTTTGATTAAAAAATTAAAAAATTGAATGAATTTTTATTCAGTTTTGATTTAATATATTTTGATAGATCCATAAAAATTTGGATACTCTGTTATAAGTCTTATCGAATCAAAGATAGACAATAAAAACTTGAGGGACTGAGAAAATAGTTTCTTCTATTGCTCCATTTGTTTGATATATTTTTTTATTTTTCATGTAAATTAAAAAATTATTATTTTTTATGTCGCATTAATATTTTTTATTTATATTTAGAACATTTTAAGAAAATAAATCACTTAAAATTTTGATTAAAAAATATTTTGAGATAAATATAAATAAAAAATCAGATAATTTTATTAGGACGGGAGGAATATATAATTTAATTAAATTTAGAGTACTGGAGTCTTTTGGATCGGGGAGACATAAGTGGTAAGATCAAGCAGTTGGGAATGGACATCAATGGTACTAGTTGTAAGACCATGCGATCCGCCTCTATTAAACCTATGGCCAAATTAAAGCCAACACCATTTCATCATTCTTGCACGGTACTCTACCAACTTGATTCCCTCCAAGCAGATGCCTCTATAAGCCAGCCCCCTTTTTTGACACTAAGAATCGCTCAACAGGGGTCACCTTGGAGACTTACGTGATTACTGTTAAGGCCTTAGGTTTTGTTGTTTCAATGCTTTAATGATCGGAATGAAAGTTGTATGATTGTTTCTTGTCTCTGTTATTGTTGTGCTGCGTTTGCTTGCTGTCTCCCTGTTTCTTTTTAACATATGCAAGCCCTACGAGAACACCCTCTGGGCTCTCAGAGCAACCTCGTCATGTTTCCTATGTTAATATATGTGTGTGAATAAAGAGGTAGAAATTTATGTCTAAGGTGATTTATATCCATGGACTAAAGTGGAACCTGTATTGATCATGGAAACCAAATTAAACATTTGCACCCCTTTAGCCTATGATCACTGCTTTGCCTTCAGTTTTTTCTCCAAAATGAATTTTTGGGCAATCAAAAGCACATTTTCTTTCCAAGAGAAGGCATAACAAAAGCGTTCACATTTTTAAGTGAAAAAGAAAGGGGACGGCAAAAAAAGAAAGAAAAGAGAGTCAAGTTTACACATATTTGAAGCAATATTATGAAGATAGAAAAGTTCGCCGTATTTTTTGGTTAGTCAAGTAGGGATGCTAATAGATTAAATATAAAATGAGTATCCGCTTTGTTCGATCAAATAAATATCCATTAAAAATATCTAATTGGTATTGAAGTAGATAAGTATATATTTACTCACTAATATGATTTTAAAATATAGATACTCACTTTTTACCTTATTAATATCTATTAATTTATTTTGATTTTTTATTAATTATAAGGATCTAATTGCATAAAATTTGAAAATTAAAGATCAAAATATTTTTTAAAAAAACTTTGAGAATCAAAAAACTTATAAATAAATGAAAAAATAAAAAAAAAACTTTAAGGACCAAAAACTTTTTTTTAAGAAAATTGTAAAGACTAAAATGAATTTTTCATAAATTATTTTTGGCTGGTATTAAATGAGTGAATAAATTAATGTAAAACTTCTTTGAGGTTTCATTCTCCTTCAACAATGAAATTTAGACAACGTCGGTGAGCTCTTGAATACACCAATGGGATTGTTTGTTACATCCCTTCTTTTAAGTTATCGTTCCAACCAATTGTGCCCTTTTTCTTTCAGAGCTTTATTTTGGTTAGTCATGTAAAAGCTTTTTGATATTATCAGAAGGGATCATTGGAAATGCAATCCCGCAAATTTCATCCAATAAAAATTTTAAACAAACAAAAGTAGCCTCTCTAAGAAAATGAATTCCAATTTCTAAAGAATTAGTATAGTTAAATGAACAATCCGCATATTGATTTTTCTCATTATAGATATGGTATGGTGTGAAGGCGAACATTTTAAGGGTTTGCAAACTGAATAAATAAATAAAATGAGTTAATTGATTATAAAAAGATGATATTTGATGATTCTGGCATAATAGAACTACAGTCAATTTCAAGTTTTAATTCCACTGAATGAAACTAAATATCTCTCGTGCGTCTATTTTATTACAACAGAATTAAATCTATACATAATTCCTGTAATAATTTCTTTGGAAATAGTTCGACGTAATCGATCCTGCTGCGACCATATCGGCTGCTAAAACTGTTGATTCGCCGTCGTGTTTTGCATGTACAAATAATACAATATTGTAGGCTAAAATGGTGCATGGGGGCTTGGTTACCGGTTAAAATGATCTGAATTTCTGCTGACCATATCACCCTGTTGTCGAAATTACACATGGTCAATGGTCTACTATGTGTCATTTTGTAGACAGTAGGGATCTGTCAGCATCTCCTAAGTGTGAAAGCTTTTGCCGTCGCTAAATGCTTCGTAAGGGTTGGAGTCTTTTGGGTCTGGGAGACATACGAGGTAAGATCAAGCAGTTGGGGATGGATATCAATGGTGGTTGTAAGCCTGATATTAGGTTAAAAAATCTCAGCTTTTTGACCCATTGACGTCTGACCTATAAGGTTCTCGTAACGCTTGTATTATAAAACAGTTCTTTTGATATTAAAATTTGCGTATAAGAATAATATTTGTGCAATTAATTTGATTTTTAATCAAATACTAATACTAATTTCTATAGTGTTCATATTATCCATTAAAAAACTCGCATCCTACGTGATAACAACAGAATAAAAATATATCTAAATGTCTAGAAGCGCTAGAAAATAAGTTGAGATTTAATATATACATACATAGATAATTGCTACTATACTAACTTAAGTATTGGATTATTTATAAGCATATAAACACATTTGCAACCTAACAATCTTTCCCTCCCAATGAACACGCAGTAAATGACTTGACTTAAGATATAAGGTCTTGAGTTCAAGTACTATTCTTGAACTCG